AGAAGAGGTGTGGGGGGGGGGGGGGGGGATTTGTGGCGTGCCTCTGTACACTGATTTTGTGTTGAGATTCGGCTCCAATCTAGACTCTAAAATGTCCATTTCAGCTCACACAGCTAGTGTTAATACAAATACCTTATTAACACCCTTGTCAAATCCAACTTTTTTTTAACATTTCCCTTGCTGCCAAATTACAAAGCCCAATTAAAGCATTGCTCCGGTATAACAGGAGAATGGAACATTGATTAATAACACACCAAGTGGGGCACGGGCCTCAGATTAGACAGACTGTAATCAGGTCAGCAGGGCTCAACACAGTGAAAAGTGATACTGAGCACATAGGATTATATGATTACATAGAAATAATCAGATCTCAAATCAGGCATAGCTGACTCTGATTAGGCAAGAAGTGAAGATTAGCTGAGGTATGAAGGTGATTTTTAAGGTTAAGGATTGCTGAGAAGCACTTTTAAGTCCCTAATAAAATTAATCCTGTCTGGATGTCAGTATTCATTGCTCGGGCTTGCTGATGGCATCAGGGAGGGCATGTTGAGTTAACACAGGAGACATTCAAGCCATGCCCAGAAATGCCAGAGGCTTCTGTGTGGTGAAATATTCAGCACGCTAGATTGTTGCTTGGATCGCATTTGAATTTATTGTCCTAAATGTTTGTGAGGTTATCTGTAGACATCATCGAACTCCCTCGAAGCAGAAATACGCCTGATAGAGAGAGCAGAGTTTGAAATTCCGTCAATAGTAACAAACTGTGGCCAGATTTTACCTGGCAGGATGCTGGTTTTTGCCTCATTTAAAAATTGTCCTTTTGGCAGAGGAAGCAGTCTCACTTGGGATGCATTGTAATGATAATGAAGGGAACTGGGGAACAGAGGGTGGTGGGTGACGGATACTGAAAACATGGCTATGGAGTGGGCTTGGTGTCCTTTGTTCCTAACTGCTGTGTTCCAGTCTTTAGAGCTGCAGGAGAAGGACATTTGGAGTTTTTGTGCTCCCATCACCAGTTGTAGTGGGATTTTTCTCACAGAGTCTGGCTATCTGTTGAGTTGTTTTACATGCTGCCTGGTTTATTATGGGGCTCTTCTGCTTTTCTGTACTGGTTTATTTCCAAAGATTAAGCAACACATTTTGGAAAGCCACTGTCCACATTTAGGACTTAATACATGGGTATTCTCTGCTGAGTATCTGCAGGTCTTTAAAAGTATTGAATTTACTTCCCTCAAAAAAAGTTACAACGTTTTTATATGTGGTTGTGGGCTTTGAGACTGTTGCCACAGCAGATTGTACTGCAGGAGGCTGTTTATTTTAATTTACTTTTCAGCAAGCTGTTGGTACCACTAGCTAGAGCAGCTAGGAACAGAAACCTCACTGACTCATAATAGGCCAGTGTTGGGTATAATTAAACCTTGAATTAACTTAAATTGAATTGATTAATAATTGATAAATTCATCTAGCTAATAAATAAATGGAAGCCTTATTGTTCCAACTGGTTTCCCATTGTTTTTTTTTTGTTTGTTTGTTTTGTTTGTTTTATTGATATGAAAAAGATATTAAATTGCATTCTGTGTTAAAAGACTTTAAAACTCTCACATTTATTTTGGTGGACACTGCAGAAAACCTGATGTGTTTGAGAAAAACTGTCTCCATTCCTTATGCCCCCAGTCCCCACTAACCCCACACCTCCTTTCTTACCTGTAGCTGACCTACCTGCCTCCCCCGTGGGGAGAGTGCGAGTCAAAGGTGCTGGAGTCAGGATTTTTCGAGGTCTACAGTGTAACTGCCTGCAGGATTGACTGTGAAACTCGTTACATTGTGGAGAATTGCAACTGCAGGATGGTGCACATGCCTGGTCAACACCCGCCTTCTTACTTCAGCATTAAAAAAAAAAGTTAGACACTTTTGGTGGTTTTTAGCAAGGTTGCATTTTGGCAGGAAAAAAGGTATTGCACTTCTACATTCATCTAACAGTTTACACTTTGCTTGTAGAGTCTTCCAAGAACTTATTTTTAAACACTGCCACTGACTGAATTCTTCTTCTAATATGCTTGATTCAAACTGTTTGTAGGTGATGCTCCGTATTGCACACCTGAGCAGTATAAAGACTGTGCTGAGCCTGCCCTTGGTAAGTCCACATGTACAGTACAGAAAACCTCATCAACATGACGAACACATGTACTATCTACTGGCTAGTCCAGGGGTGTATCGAGACAATTTTGATGGGATGGCCAAGCTGGGGCACAGACTCAGAGAGGGGTGCCACACTTCAAATACATGTGAAAAGTCAATTAAACCATTCGTTCTACAAAATAATAAACCATATATTATTAAGAATCAAATTGTTTATTTTGTGTAGAAATGAGACACACATACTGTAGTGCTTTCTTTAGCTAACTTCTCTCACTCCTTATTTATTCCATGCCAGGGACATCGCTGCTGCACAGTGTTCCCCTCAGTGAGGCAAATCATGCCTCCCCAACAACACAGTCAGACAAATTCATGGAAATACCATGCTGCATGTAAGATTTAAAATAAAAAAGTTTTGACCAATATTAATTATGAAGCACCAAAAATTTTAGTTGTATTTAAGGCAATGATTTATCATTGTTTTTAATTTTTTATTCATTAATACTGACAAGCATCACATTTTGATTCTGGCAGGGGTGACCAATCAGATTTTGGGGGTGGCCAGTGCCCTCCCTACAGCTGTATTACAGATCTACATGTTGGTGGCTATGGACAAACCAAGTGGAGACACAGGAACTGTGTTAAGAGCTGTAACACATGTCTGTGTATTAATAGTGAAGACAATGTTAAGGAAGTGGAAGAAAGATTCTCAGTAATTTTCTCCTTTTTGGTAACACACATTTAGCAAAGCCATTACACTGTACACTCACCACTCTGTACGAGCAAACATAAACAGAGATTGCACAGTGGTAGTCTCCTACTCAGCAGTGAGATGGGGCGAAATAACATAAGTTCCCTGGATGTAACTCCAGCTCTCTAAATATGTGTGTACTCACTGCTGCTCAGAGTAATAAAAGAATGTAAACACAGTGATATAACTCACTGAAATGAAATGCTCAGCTATATATTAGAACAGTTTTGAACCCCTGGTGTTGAAATACAGCTTTAATAATCCTTCACCTATTAGGGGCTGGGTCTTACTGTCCCGTGTTCGCACTCAGATGGATTCTCTTTTTTTTTTTTAAATATATTTATGGGCATTGGTTCCAGGTAGGTTTTTTATGAGTACATTTCTAAACAGTTCAAAATATTGGACTCATATAGACAAAGAAATTTCATCTACTTTATTGGAGGCAGAGCTCTTAAAATGTGGGCAAATAAAACCAAACCTTTCTGCACTGTATGGCTAGATTCCATGATGTGATTGCGAATGAATGTTTTTTGTAATTTGGGTACACACTGATGTTTTAAGGGCTGTGCCCATACATATATTTTCCTACATAGTAAATAGAAAATACAGCCTGCTAGATTCTATGAAGTCACTGTTAGCCATTTCAGTTCTAATATACAATGGCCATGTAATCTGCATTTTGATCACGAAAAGCCCATAGTCAGAGAAAACATACTGTATATAATGAGTCAGTTCAAAAGCATACAAAGAAATGCTTGACCTTTATCAGCCTCAGCTGGTAGCCAGTGGGAGTTACAGCAACATTGATAAAATGTTCTCTGCTCCCACACCACACCAGCCTTTATGCTTAGCCCCCACTTCTCCCACCCTGAGGTAAATTATCTCTGGAAATCCGTCTTGTGCAAATGTGGCCAAGAGCAGCAAAACCTTCAGGCAATCAGCATCAAGGATGCAAACTCCCACACCAAAAGATTGTTCAGTGTATCTCACCAAAGTTACAACCTAGAAGTTACACTGTATGATGCAGGAGGAATGTCGAAGGTGTTGTTAGGTATTCCAGACAGCTCCGTCTCTCTCTCTCGCCTGTAATTGGTTTCATATTTTGAACAGTATGGTTTTCACAATCACAGCAGACACACATATTCTGCTTGGATCACTGAATGCAAATGAATTCTTGTTTTAAACTCAGTACCAATTTGCTCCAGAGAAGTCTTTGCTCGGCAAAAGTTTGATTGGGTTTTTCTCTCTCTGTAACTATGTCGCACACGTTTTGGAGACAGCACTAAAAAATATTTTTAATAGGAGACAGCTGCATCTGTTGTCTGTTAACAAGCTGCTTATCAAGTGCTTTTGAGAAAACAAAGACAGCTTATACTGTAATTACACATCCAGACAGAAAACACAATTATTTGCTATAGTTGTCAAACAATGAACAGTTTTAAATAAATGGTTAAAGCAGTAATCTTTCTGTAAATACCTTTCTATCTGCTATTAACAGCTAGTTATGCATTAAAATTTAGGAAAATATTAAACTTATGAGGAAGAAATGTGTTATGATAATTCTGTCTTTTATATTTAAATGTATGTGTGAGAAAAATGAGTGTAGGAGATGGACAAAGGTGAGTGGCTTAGAGAAAGAAATCAATCATTTGAATGCACGAGGCCTTGCTCCCATGTATCCAATAATCTCTCATTTGAATAAAAACAAGAGACCACTGAGAAGCTATATTGAATTTCTTCTTGCAATTACATGACTGTGGTGCCCCACCAGCCATTAGTGCACCATAGGGGATAGCTGCCTCATGCTCTGTGATCTGCAGGCCTGCCACAGAGTTGTCTCAGTGAGAAATTAGACTGATAACATTAACTTCTCCTTTGCTTTCCGTTGATAGAATAAGGGGTGGGTGTATGAGGAGATTTTAAATCTGAAGAAGATCCAGTGAGAGAAGTTTTTGGTAGTGAGAAAGGATTCTGTAATATCTCGTGAAATTAAATGACGATTATTTAAACTCTAGAACTTCAAAAATTTAGCTAAAGAAAGTGATTTGTGAGTAGCGTGAGTGGCCTCGATGCCGGGGAAGCTTCTGATGGAGCTATATTGAAAAGCCTGTGTCACTTAACATTACCATCACTGTGAAGAGAGTGGATGCTGTGTAGGAGGCTGTGGGCTTAACATAAAATCATTCACGGCATTTTTAAAAATTTTATTTTTTTCTCGGAGTCAAACTGCCAAAGCAGAGCCGTGAATAGAGCTTGTTATTTCTGCATTAGGATTTGTGTTGGTGTTAAGACTGTTTTGCAGGTTGCTGCTTGAGTGTGTGTTTGTTGCATTACATTCTCTCCTCTGTATGTGACATTGACAATGACAGAGACTTTACTGTCATGTGGGCTTTTATTGAATAAACATTTGCGAACTCAAGACGCAGTATGAATAGGGCCATAGGGAAGGCGACAGTGGTACAGTGGGGGAGGCGACAGTGGTGCGGTGGGTAGAGCAGTCGTCTCCTAACCACAAGGTTGAAGATTGAAGGCTCCCCCCATTGCCCTCGATGGTTAGAGCCATCGGTTGAGGTGGCGCCGCAGATGGCTGCCACTGGTTTTGTACAGGAAACAAATTACTTGTGTGTAGCATACTTGACCAATAAAGGTGATTGTCCTTATCCTCATGTGTGCAATCATGTGTGTTAGTTTTATGCATGTACTCTATATGTACAGAGGTAGGGTACAGTATGTGTGACCTCTCTTTCTTTTCTGTCAGTAAACAGAGGTCACACATCTCAGAAAATAGATGTCAGTCATCTCTTAGAAGGTATACTACCCTCCTGCTCTCAACACAAATCTACACAAGCTTCAGGCCTGTATCTTTGAGAGCAATTACTGTTTATCAACAGTGAAAATGCACTGACACGCAGCTGCATGTAGTTAATTAGAGTAATTATTGGAGCTGTGGTGTGTTGAATCATGACCACAATTTAACATAATGTTATTTTATTCCATGTTTTTTTTTTTTTGTGACTGTATACTCTTAGTTCGAATGTGGCTCCAGCCTGCAACAGCACATCCACAACATCAGTGTGTTTGTTCTTGCAGGTGATTTTCTCATAAGGTATACGATGCACATGACTCTCCCTCTGGCCTATTTTATAGCGCTTTATTATTACTCCAGTTTAGTCTGTGCTGCAGTTCTTCAAATAAAAGGCTTTTGTTTGCCAGTTAGATATGACTTGTCTCAGGGGTAAAGGCCATAGTCAAACTACTACATTGTCAGGTGAATATTCATCACCACAGCAGGTGCTTCACACTCAAATCAATGGCAAAATACTTAGGAATCAGATTGCAGACAGAATAGTGTGTTTGTGCCTTTGTGAGACTCAAAGAAATATTGTACAGTAGTTATGAACCAGTTTGGCTAGTTTAATGCTTTTAAACTGAATGTCTCAGAATGTCCAGGGACCATGCAAGGTCAAGTCTCAATGTATCTAAAAGGGCATTTCTTCATTGTCTTCATCATCTTCAAACCATCCTCATTCCAACTCCTTGTACCATTTTCCCTCCCACTGTTATGCTTTTCCCCTCACCATGACCACACGTGAAGCTAAGCTGTCAGCTGTGGAGAGTAGTAACTGCATGTGCCGGACATCGTGCAACATGACCCGTTACAACAAAGAGCTATCCATGGTCAAAATCCCCAGCAAGACCTCAGCCCGCTACCTGCAGAAAAAGTTCAACAAGACGGAGAAGTACATCACGTAAGTAGCCTGTTATTTTTTTCCTTGTGCTTTGTATGTTTGCTGACTGTGGTGCTTGCCAAGTGAGTGCCAGCTGCGGGATTCATTAGGACAAATGCCCTGTTTTGCCTTTTGCAGAGACAACATCTTGGTGTTGGACGTGTTCTTTGAAGCTTTGAACTATGAAACCATCGAGCAGAAGAAAGCCTACGAGGTGGCAGGCTTGCTTGGTAGGTTTTACTCATTGTTAATGTTAATTTTCCAAACCTGGATCCAGTCTAGAGTATGTTAGTCACAGCCATGCTACTTGTGTAATAATGTGCTCACTCATGGGACTGACTTAGAGTAGATGATACAAAGATGCCTGATGTGATGGTTGACAAACTTACTTATGATGCAATTACACTGTGAAACAAGCCATCAACAAAATGTCTGCACTGATCAAATTGTATGATCCAGATCTGTGGAGCAGCATCAGTAAATGAAAAAAGCAGCAATTTGCTTGTTTTCAGTTTTTGTTTGATGGCTCTGCTGCTGTCACTTGTTTTAACATTGACCAGTTCATTAAAACATGCAGTGCTGTTTAAATATTCAAAGACTGAGGCAAATGTAAACCCAGTAAATTGCCAGTTAAACATTGCCGATTCATGGGATCTAGAACCCAGGTGACTGACATTGTATTTGGTAAATAACCAATAATAACCAAATGAGGTGTAAAATTTCCTGACCTGACCCTACAAAGTATTGAATTCAAGTCATTTATGTGTCATCTTGTTGTGAAAAGGGACTGAGATTGCATCAACAAAAACAGTCCTCAAAAATCATGGTGAAAGTTCTGCACATGGCATTAAAAACACATTTACAGACTGAATACAGTCCCCAGGTTTATACCTGCACTGAACTCTGAAGGTGCATTTTAATTAGCGCTGATTAAAATCGATTAAAATAATTCATCTCAATTAATCGCACGATTGTCCAAAGTTTATTAATTAATTGCAAATTAATTGTCCTTTTAAAAAACTATTCTAGCTTTTAAATGTACCTTTAAGGGACACAGAAGAAACTGTGATTACTGAGAGAAGTCCAGTAGTCTCCGTTGAGCACAACTGTGTTCATCTGTCCCAGTACCTCCTCCACTTTAGCTTTGTCATGTTCATACATGTTGTGTATCTTCATTACAGTGGAGGCTCTTGAAGGCAATTCATATGTGCAGTCTTTGGATGTTATTTCAGGCAGACCCTCGTCCTCCAAGATGTTGATTGGCCTGCAAGCTGTAGCCACCCATTAAGCTGTCGCTGTTGAAAATTTGCTGCTTGTAGAGTTGTCCATTGAAAACTATCCAGCGTGGTCTGTCTTTGGCGATGGGGAGGAGGGCTCTCTGCATCAGCTGTATGCTTGGTCAGCAAGTGGTATTTGAAACTTGATGTACTCCGGTGGTAACACAGTTTACATTGACAGTAAATGCAAACAACTTTGGTCTTGAGAGAACCATCTGGCACAGCCTTGAAAATGAACTTGACATTCAAAAGACCCTTTTCTTTATCCATTTCTGCTCATTTCTGCTGCTGCTTCACTTCCTGATTTCCCAAACTATGGGGCGGGCCAAGAGTCATAATCACTGCGTTAATCGCTGGTCAAAAAAAAATTGGATTAACTCATTATTATCACGTTAATTTTGACAGCTGTAGTTGTAAAGATCCTACCAGGCAGAAGGAATCTAGTGTTTTTCATGGTCATGGTTTAATGGTCTGTACAAATAAGCCTGATTTTGCTGTTCCATTTCTCTATATGTGCCTGTGCATGTGACCTTCTACAGGTGATATTGGAGGTCAGATGGGTCTGTTCATTGGAGCCAGCATCCTCACCATCCTGGAGCTGTTTGACTATGTTTATGAGGTTAATCTCAAGTTGCAGTTTTCACATTTTTACTCTCATTAAACCCATTGAAATAATTCATTACTCCCGTACATCCTACTCCTCCAGAGCCTTTAGCAGTTTATGTCAATGTAATAAACTTTAATAGCCCTTGTTTTCTTTTTTACAGGGAAGAGTTAGAGCATTGACCATGAAAGCCAAAAACAGGAACAATACCACAAATTTTAAAAAATAAATTAATAAATAAAAGGCAAATATACAGCTGGATTGACTTTAGATCTGACTGGGATGATGGGCTGATGGTACTTTCCATTACCTTTATTGTAGCCCACTGTGTGCCCCTCTTTAGAGCTTCTCCTGCTGCTTTCAGCTACAATGGACTCTGACAAGTACATAATAGTCTTCACGTCTCCCAGGGCTTTAGAAATATGTTTTTGAACCATTTTGTGGTCATAATTGAGTAATGGGAAAAAGAAATCCACATGTTGCCAACACAAGCAGTTTTAAAGCAATTTTTAACAGCTAGCATGCTAAAACAATTGTAATGGTGTAGATTCTTGCCATATTTGCCACCTTATTACTTTACAAAGTCAAATGCTTCTGTGCAGTGAGTAATTACAGCAAGAGGCCATGTAGATATTCTAAAAATGCAGAGAGAAGTCTTTCTGACTTATTTCCCCTTATCTGCAGGTGGTGAAAGACAGACTACTGGATTTACTGAACAGAGAGGAGGAGGAGGAGAGTCATGGAGAGGATGTGGTAAGAGTGGCCTTCAACCCTTCATTTGTCAATCTTCTTCACAGAGTGTTCTATGTAAGTGGAGCGTGTAGATTTAGTGTAATTTCACTCACTCTGTTCATACATAGCAAACCCTGCCCTAACCCTGCATGTGGAAGGAGCACCTTAGCAAATCTGAGACTGCGTTCAGACCGATAATAGCATGCCAGTTTGGCACAAAATGCCAAACTGGCATGCTCTTTGGCAGCTCTTTAAAGGAGCTCTCGGAGAATCTGAGCAGCAAAGTTTGTGTTGGAAGAACTAATTCTCTTTTACCAATCACATACAGTATCTACATGGGCATCAAATCTTAGTTACATCAGCAATTAGCTGTAGTATAAGGAGGAGGTTGGAGTAGTGGAGGCAGCTACAGCAGTAAACTGCAGAATAAAGAGTGAAAAGAGTCAGGTTGTAATGTTCACTGTGAACTGTATGAGTGTTACAGGACATTACTGGTCAGCTGGTGGCCGAACAGCGTCAAAGGAATGAGCCACTACTGATGAAGAATGAACGAAACTGCTGCCAGTTAGCTAATGCAAGGAGCAACTTCAGTTCTCTGCCTGAATTAAACAGCATTTCACTTAACTTTACTATGCAGTTAAAATTTTTGCAAAGCTCCATGATCGCATTGCCATTTAAACACACATCAGTACACAGTCTAAGTTCAGGCCAATATTTGTAGTGTTTATAAGTTCAGCCATTATTTATTGTAGGACTCTGGTTCTTGTTACCATTGCTAACTCTGAGAGACGAGACAGTCCAAGTAACTTCAAAACAGTGCTGATTTATTCAAAGGATCACAGGTAAAATTAACATTACACGCTCAGGTATCTTGCACCATCAAACTGCTCGCAGGTAGATGTAAGATGAAAGACCCTGAACCCACCAGGCCTATACATTATATCCCCTCGGTTGGGCTAGCCCCATACTACACAGAAACGTCAACCGAGACGTCTCTGTTGCCAGCTTTGCAGCTGGTCATAGCAGTAGTCAAAACATGAAGCAAATCAATGTGCGTGTGTGTGTCTGCTGATTAAGTGGTGTGTAGCTAAAAACATTCTCACGACCTCTAGTAACATGTCGTGACTTAAACATAAGAACATATTATGGCTAAGGCTACAGTTATACACGTCATAATAATAATATTAAACACCCTGTCTGCTGACAGTCATCAACTTTTCTCTCTAGTTATCCTTGACCAGATGTACTCTGCAGAAACTCATAAGCATTTAACAGTCTAACTAGACATCCTATCTCCACTAAACATTTCTAATACACAAAGTATCTATCCAATTTCTATCTGACTAAAAATATCTAACACTATCTAACCAAGAGTTAGTAGTGTGTGTCTCCTAGTGAACATTAACCACTCTGCTACCATCCCCAGCTTTAATAAAACTCATGTTTTTAAAGCTGTTATTAACTAATATTTAGCTCTCTTGCTAATGCCAATTATCTTTGTTTATATCTTTTAGTGTATTTGTTCTGTTTTCAGTTTATGTCCCCATATAGAAACACCTGTTTTACAAGATGCCCCACTGTATTTTGCTTTGACTTGGCACCAAGGCTCTTTCAAACTTCTTTTTCCCCAGAGTTCCTGTGACCCTGTGGCAAACCATTCGGAGTCCATCAGCCACACTGTGACAGTCCCTCTGCAAACAACTTTGGGCACCCTGGAGGAGATTGCTTGCTGAGGGCCTCTCCCCTTCCCCTCAAAGCCATACACATCCAGCCTCCACTGGGTGGCGCTACATCTTCTGTTTTGGCGCCTGCAGGACCTTTAACAGGGGAGGGGAGAAGACAAGGACAAGAACAGGGCTTGGCCTAAGGACAGTGCTGTGCTCTGTCACACCGCCCTGTCTGAGGCACTAATGAGGATTAAGGAGCTGTCAGCCGGACCTATCAGCCCTCTCTGTCACCCTGCACTGTACTGTTGTAGGAGGGCGACTTCCGCTGTGCCAGACCTGCAGTCATGCACACAGAAAATCAGAGACTAGGTGGTGTAACTACCCATGAAGGGGGCTTATACCCGTGCAGCATATCTATGTAACAAACACATTCATATGTCACTCACTGCCAAATGAACTGTACAAAATTGGTTTTGAACTGTCCAAACTGCATGTGTCAATCTATCTTGCTCTCTTTGCTGATGCATACGCTGGACTGCAGTGTTGCTTTAGTGTACATGTGTGCCATTTGTCCGTATCTGCAGGACAGGCCTGTGACAAGCGCCCAAGCGAGACATTTGAGCTTTGAATGTACAGATTGAACATATGGTTGTTTAAAATCATAGTTCAGATGTGACCAATCCATCTTTGAAAATATTCCAGTGAGTGATTTATCATTTCTTAGTTAATTATCTTGAAGTTTGATGGGCTGGTGGTGATTTGTGATGCGTGTTACTGAGGGAAAAAAAAACCTGAACACTTTGTTTACTGAAAACAGTGAAACCTGAATATTTTACAGCCAACACTGTGCATATTTTTCTCACCATTTAGTTTTAGTTTAAGCAGTTTTGTAGAAGGCATGTTTGCTAGGTTGCTCCTGGGATGGTGAGCTGTTCTCTAAATAAAGAGATGTTATACTGTTAAATTTATGTGAATAAATGACTGGCTTTTGGTCGCTGCACCTCACCACAGCACCTACTATAGCTAAGTAAGGCAGAATCTGAATTTATTTGCCTGCCAGACAAACTAAGTACAAAGCGCTGCAGCAAGCGAATACGCCTGGGGTGTTGTTAAACAATGATTTCATTAGGAGAATGTCAGGGTAATACTTTGGACAGCTATTACCATTTTATAGAGGGTGGCATCGTCCCATGCCATCCCCTACCCCCACACACAAATCCCCAACCTTGACAATTTTAAACAACTTTTATAATTATAAAATGATCAGAAATGCACCAGGGATCAGCCAGGAAACATTTGGGTTTTTTTATTATACAAGATCTGCTGTGTTATGGTGTTCTTTTATTTTATTAAATTGTTTTCCCACTATTGTAAGAAGAGGAACTGCGCCGAAGCAGCTCTAATTAAAAAGAAGATAAACTTTAGCAAAACTTCTTGTCCAGAATGACTGCATATCAGTCACATTTTTACATAATGTTGCTTACTCTGCAGATCTTAGTAGGTGAGAAGGTTATGTAACAGGCAGCAGCATCTTGGGGCAGTTGAATGTCAGGCAAAATAATGAAGGACACACTTCTGCTATGAGCACCAGCCATCCTTTTCCATACAGGTTTAGCTGAAACAACGGTTTCATATATATGGCTTTACACCAAAAGCTTGTTTGACACCATTTGGATGATTTTGTGTATCTGAGCTTTCTATTACTAGTCCATAATCATTCTAGCATGGTCTCTGTCATCATGGTAATGTACATTGCAGGTAGGAATGAATTGAAGTGCTTTATGGGACTGTTTGAATTATGATTTCCCATCTGTGGCTCAACCTGCTGTCTCTGTGTACTTTTTCATGTTGTGGCTTCAGACAAACACAGTCCTTAGCCAACCTGCAGAGATGTGAGACAAGTGTGTCTCGCTTCTCTAGGTGGCAGCAGCACTGGCTGTTTCTCTCTCTACTTTGGCTTCAATTGTTATCACAGGATGGCATTTTCTCATTTTGTGATGCAACAATCGTTGTGTGTTTTTAATGTGAAACTATTAAATGAAAAAGTTGTTTTGCAGTGGTGGCGTCCTGTTGTGGCAAGGCTAGGTAACACAAGTAGCACCATTTAACAAGAAAATTACTCACAAAACATGGCATAAAAGGACACAGCAATGCAATAAAATAGAAAGAAATCCTGTTCTGAACTAATGTCAGTGACACTACTAATGCATCCTGTTTTGTTTTTTTTAACCATGTTTTACCATCTTAGTTTAGTGTGTTAGTATGCTAACTTTAGCTAATTTGCACTAAAAACAGACAGTTTATTTTGAGGGGAACAAGAATGAGTCTGGACCAAAGTGGTGGATCGACAGACTAACACTGTCATTCCTACAGGCATGTAGCTAGTGTTGATAAATAGACAAATAAATAGGGTTTGAAATGAATCCAACAGAAGAAAAAACTACGGTGCAATGTGATACAAAAATAACAATTTAATCAAACATAGCAGCAAACTGAGAAGTTAAGACCTCACTTTGCAAGAGCAGACCACATTTTTTGGGGATTGTTTCAAATATCTCGTGCATAAACAATGAATGCCTTTCCGTGTTTTCATTTAGCTGAGAGGTTTGGAAGCTGCAAATGGCTGAGTTGCATTTTAGAAAAATCTGTGAAGACACAGTTACTGTTAGTCAAGCTTGCAGGCAGGTCTTACTGAGACATAATTATTTTAAGATCAGAATGAAAATCAGCTTTATTGGCCAAGTGTGTTGAACAAATGAGAAATCTGACTCTGGTCCAGTGATGATGGTAGGTTGACTTTGCAGTTGTCTTAATGTGGATGTTAAAGAAAAACAATTAGCCGCTTTGGTACAACACACATTGTTTAGACACTGAGAAACATTAGAATTCATTAGTTTGATGTTTCTGGCCTGCAGGCAAATGTCCACAAGTCCAATATTTACTCCCTTTTTTAACTGTTTTTGGTCTCTACTAAATCCTGAGGGAAATATCTGAGTCCTTCAATTAACTTACTTTGTGTCTCTGAATCTAGGTGTTTTTATGCTTCCGTACTATTGTTGTAGGAATTATGTTTTCAGGGTTGTCCGTCCATCTGTATGTCCAATTCTCACAAAGGCAATATCTCTGGAATGCCTTGAAGGTATTTCGTCAAATTTGGCACAAATATCAAGGATGAACTGATTAGATTTTGGTGCTCAAAGATCACTGCATCCCCACCTCTGTCCCATTCCCATGAATGTAGCTGAAAACAACACCATCATACTAATGAGAGTTAACCAAACAGTAAAATGATAGTTTTTTTTTTATTGCAGCTACTTTAGAATTTAGACTCATGACTACACCAAGATTGCTGGTTTGGTTTGTAGTCCTTAACATAACAAATTTAACTTCAGCATTGACTGATGTGAATCTTACCAGTGATGAGATATTTTGTTGTTTTTTTTTTTTTATAATACAGTATGGTAGTGGTAGCATGTTGATTCACTAAGGCTAGGTACTTGCAAAAGTTCTTGGAAGGTTTGGTCAACTGTCCAACTGTTTGGACAGCAGTAACTACTGCTCAGGTATGTTCTTAACTCTGATAAGTTGAAGTTGGAAAGAATACAAAGGATGAGTCAGCACAAAGCACCTGGCGAAACCTGCAGAAAGAACTAGCAAATAGGAAGCCATGGTGGATCAAATGTAAAGCAGCTTGTTAAAGTGCAGTTTCCCTCTGACATCTCGTCTACATGTTGATAAATCAGCTGACGTGTTCTCCTACTCAGCCTCAACTGATTCCAGCAGCTTGGACAATAGAGGAGTCATTCTGCAGCAGTGGTAGAATTCACTTGACACCCAATTTATCTTGCTGGTCAGGTTTCATTAAGTATTGCTACTTTAAAGAAAATCCAGCAGTGCTAGCAGTGAAAACATCTGAAACATCTGCCCCCCCCCCACCTCCGTTTACACTACCAGATACTAATGAGCCATAGACCGAGTACTTCCCTAAACCATCACCAAGCATAACCACACAGTTTGACGTGGTCTGTCCTACTTTGCTTTTCCACTCTGTTCCATGTACAACCCTGATTAACGCAGATCCATGCATTAATCAGCTCAATACGTTTCGGAACTGTCCTCTAGTGGAAAAACCCCCATCTGTGTCAACACATTTGTTTCATGAATTCAGTCTAATAACGCTTTTCCCTCCACCTCAGACATGCACACATCATATTCTTATGAATGAACAAATGCCATTAAGGAAAGAGGTGACGTTCAATCTGAGGACTGCCTTAAAAGTAAAAACAAGAAAGATTGAAGTATATAATGAATGTACTGTGGACTGAGGGAGGGTTATCCAGTTCCAGTTTAGTTTATCTCCAAAGCATAGGAGCAGTTACATTGTTCGAATTAACTATTGTGTAAAATACCTCTGGTTGTGGTTTTCTTGCATTAATATTCTACACATTGCCAGAGACTCTTATCTGAGAGCTGCTGCAGGCTGGATTCAGCCTCAGTTCAGTCTCAGTTTAGCAAATATTTAGGCATCGTAAATTGCCTGCAGGTCAGCCATAGTGCATCAACAACTGACTATAAATGCACAAATTGCCTTGGTAGAGCAGGTACTCACACACAGTGGAGGTTGCACAAGTACTGAAAAGAGCACTATAGAAACAATAAGATCAAATACTTCAGTGCATTTAAGTGTTTCCTGAATCAGGTTTGTATGCTAAAACAAGAATAGACAAACACTGTGCTCAGCAAAAGTGAGCTGAGGTACAACTAATGTAGAGTCCAGGAAATAAGAGTTTGCACTCCCGAATCTATTCGAATGCTCTTTTAATGCTTATTTTTTATTTTTTCAGATAATCCGTGAAACACAGGTTAGCAAAATGTACAGATGTTTTGGCTCATCTCGGCATTTAGCACTTGTGTGTTTAACCTTTTATTTCATTGTCAGGGTTGCATCAGAATATGACTGTGTAGATTCAGTAGCACAAAACAATCTCCTCATCTGGGCATCTTTAGAAATGCTGTAACTGCACTTTTGCCAATAAAATGATGTTATCTGTGAGTTAAAGTTTTGTTAAAAACTTCAATGTGTGCTTCTAAGAGTTTTTTTTTAAGAGATTAAAAACATCACCTCATACAGGGTGACCTTCTAATGCAGAGAGAAAGGTTCCTCTTGTCCTTCTACTCTTTCACAAGTCACTGTGTGGGTTTGAATTGAAGAGATAGTGAATTGATAATGAATTGAGAGACAGTGTGCAGCAAGTTAAAAACTAAATACTTAAGGTATAACCAATGTGCACGTTTACTGCTTATCATAGCAACAAAAATATACAATGATATTTCTGTATGCTAAGGCAAAAACAACCATGTTAGGGAAGTGTCCAGGTTTGCAAGTTCTTCCAAACTGCTGTACACAAACTACTGGCAGTGTTCGTGGGTGGGAAACCAGCCAGGGATCATATCCTGGTCGCTTCAGTGGAAGTTGTCGGGAGGAGGATCTAAGTGAGACAGTTCAGAACAAATGATGTTTTTGCAAGAATACAGGAAAGCTGAGAAAATGTTTCTGGGTTCAGCTTGTAGAGATTCACAAATCTACACTGTGAGCCAAACAGTGAATTGCTGAGCAGGGAAAAGTATCTGGCAGCATCACTGATAGGAAAACATGACTGTGTGTGTTTGTATCGACTATTTCCTTCATAATTTAGTTGTCATTCCTAATGTGTAGTATAGTCCCTGTTTCTCTCAACCACTACCATTTACCTCCATTGATACGCATGATGTCACATACTTTATATCAAAGAAGTTACACCAGCAGCAAACCTTAAAAATGGAAACATCCATATACATTGGAATGTCTGTGAACATGTATTTGATATTAGTTTAATAAAATGTAAGACATTAAGACATAATAATGTAAAAAATAAGCTATATTAATACACAATTAATCTGTTTTTTTTTTCTTGATTAACTGTT